GGAACAGTAAGCGGGACCTGGCATTGACTGTGGCACCTGCGAGGAGGGGGCAGAGAGGGGGGTGTAAGCCTCCACCATGAAAGAATAGATGTAGCAGACCTGCCCCTAGCAGAGGGCAGGATATGTGCAAAATGACTTTTCAACACACACGACGACGTGGCCTGTTTGTGGATAACTCAGAGGTGTCTTTTCTGCAGTAGAATACTCTGCACAAACTCCAGGACATACAGAAGGAGGAGGAGGGGTTGGGGTAGAGATAAGCAAAGAAAGTCCTGTGCAGAGAGAGGAGGTGGGGGTGAGAATGGAAACACCGCATTCTCCTTCAACCATGAAGTACATGAAGCTCCCATGAGTAAACAGCTAAGCCCCCGGGGAAGGCACTACAGAAGGTGAATGGGAAATGTCACTCACTGTCTGACAAGATCTGCCTGAGAGTGATAAAGCTATGCCTGTGCAGACAGACCCTGCCTGCCTGAGATCCTGCAGGAGAGAAAACATCTCTATCCTGGGAGGAGATGTGCTTTCAGAATGCAGATATGCACAGGGCACCCTTGTGTGTGTGTGTGTGTGCATGTGTGTGCATCAGCACCCTCTCAAGTGCATGCTTGGACCCTATGTGATGTCCCTCTGGTCATGCATATTGCATGGGAACGCACGCGCACGTGTGTGTGTGTGCACGCACACACATGCGCGTGCATGCAGAGGCTATGCAAGTGTGGCGGTAAGGATGCGTACTTGGGCAGATGCTCATCTGGGGTGGGTGGGTGGGGGATGCATTTGAATATCTATGTACCCAGGAGGAGGACCTGGGGCATTTGGTCTCCACATGAGTCATGTCCAACTTTGGACTTCAAGGAATTACTTCTTTCACCATCCTACTCCCAGTGCACCTAGTTTTCAACTTCCCAGAAGTGTGCCGTTTTTCCTAAGAGTTAGGGTTCAAGAAAGCACAGGATGAAAAGCCCCAAGCCCTGGCACGTGGCCCCTGCCCTGCTAATAGTTAGCCCAGTAACTGAATACATCATTTCTGTTCTCTGAGCCTCATTTTCTACATCTGTGAAATAGGAGCTAAGTGGTCAGGCCTACCCTTTAAATTTAGGGTTCTGAGTACTTTGCCCATGCTCCTGCTTGCTCTGCTCATGATGATCCTTTTCCCTTGCTCCTTGTCCATGATTGGGCCCTGTGGGGATGGGGATGGAGAGGGCTCTGGCCTAGCCTCTGAGGAGCCCCAACGTCTCTGAAGATGGCTCTCCCATCCTCCTCGAACCCAGCCATCGTCTGAGGCAGCTTCAGGGATTTTAAAACTCCTGGAGCACAGCTTGCAAATCGTGGAACTAGGCAGAGATTTAGCTTGCATTTCCTTGCCTTCTCAGGGTGTCCCAAGGTCCTGAGGACCAGGGTCCTACAGGGAAAGTGCTCTAGGTGCATGAGTAGAGTGGAGTAGAGGGCTCTGGCAGCGATTCATGTCATTCTGGATGCACATTAGAACCCTCTGGGGAGCTTTAAAAAAATACTTTGGTCTTTTCCCCTCCACACCAATTATTCAATTATTTCTGGTGGTAAGGCCTGGGCAGGCGCATTTTTCAAAAGCTTGTGGCTTTGAGAGCACCAGGATTGAGAAGCTCTGGCCCAAGGTGGGATGAGCATTCCATACATGTCAGCCTGTGTGCTCTGAGGTTCTGGCTCTGCCTGAGCTAGGCCAGGGGCTTGGGAGTCACAGAGGGAACTGCTGCTCAGGAGAGATGAATGCTGGGTAGGGTGGCCTGGCATCCATCTCCCTCAGTCACGTCTCCGAAAATTGAATTAAAACCCATATTTTTCAGCTGCTGCCCGCCTGGCTGGCTGGCTGGCTGGGTAGTGGAAGGGGGCGAGGCGGTGAGCACCTCAGGGTAGGAAAAAGTGGGTGTGGAGACCCTTCGTTGTCTTCCTAGGGGAGAAAAGGCAGCTCAAGGGGGGCCTCTGGAAGGAGACTATTTCCAGGTGTGGTCCCTTGTCCCCACTCTTCCCAAACCCTGGCAGGAAGAGAGGGGAGAGTGGCCTGGATAGCTTAGAAGGTCATTCATTAGAACTTGAGGTGGGGTGAGAGGGTATAGGGCAGGGAAGTGGCAGACGCTGGCCTTGTCCTTGGGGAAGACCCAATTTGGGGAAACAGAATTGATTTAGCTCCTGCTTCCGGAGAGCTGAGATGGTTTGGGAAACTCAATTTCAAATGCCCGAGAAAGGCAGAGAATAGAATAGTACAGGACACAAAAGACTGACCTGGGCTTCTGGAATGATGGGGGCAGCTCACAAGGTAGGGTGACATTTAGCTAGGTACCTGGATGTATAGTAGAGTTTCCTGTGCCACCTTGGGCTAGTCTTGTTGCCCATTCACAGGGAAAGGGCCAGACAACCCTCCTGGGTCCCAGAGTTGGACTGTCTTTCAATGCCTGGCCCAGGCTGATGCTACCAGATGGAGCTAGGGCTAGAATCCAAGTGGACAAGGATGAATAGGATACCCAGAACCTTGGAGAGAATTTGAGAGGTGCCCCCTCAGGTGGATCAACCAAAAAAAAAAAAAACAACAACAACAACAAAAAAAACCTTTTTGGCTGGACTCAGGGGATGTCTGGCTTGGTGAGCAATGTATCTCTACCCTCAATGGCCTCTTTCAGGTTCCTTTGAGCAGGACACAAATAGCCCCAGAGTCCTGGTTGACCTCTAGCTATGGTCATCCAGGGCTAATATTCTGGTCATGGGCCCTGATGGAAAGGCAGAACAGATGAAGGGAACAGATGTAAGCAAAGGGCAGTTGGGTTTCCACCCTGCAGGACTGGCTGCCCAGGCAGAGAGGAAGTGTGCCCTTGGTGGGGATCATGCCCACCTGCCCACACCCAGATGTGTATCTGAGAACAGAACAGAAAGCAGGGAATCTGGAGCCCGGGGTAGACCTGGAAAACAAAGAATATGCAACAGGGGATGAGTCAGGAACTAAAGGCAGACCTTCAAAGTTAAGGGACCATACATTTCCAGGGTAAGCTAGCCTACTGTGGGTTACCCAGATCTCCACCTGTCCACACACTCCCTGGTCTGAATGTCCTGTGCTCTGTGCTTCCTGACTCAAACTCCTGCAGCCTTGCCTTCCCTAGTACGGTTCACAGTTTATAGAACACTTTCTCACATAGCACCTCATTTGATCTTCCAGAATTTGAGCTGGAGGTGACTATGGAAGCAGACTCCCAGAATGTGGGGGCAACAAGCAAAGAAGGGGTGCAGCTGGGTTCCACAGGGAGGTTTTACCTGTGATTCTAACTATGGCACAGCTCCTCACCTTCTTCTCTCCTTTTTCTGATACAACTCATTCTTTTTTTTTTCCCTAGGTACCAGGGATTGAACTCAGGGGCACTCAACTACTGAGCCACATCCCCAGGCCCCCCGCCCTTTTTTTTTGGTATTTTATTTAGAGACAGGGTCTCACTGAGTTGCTTAGCATCTCAATTTTGCTTTGAACTCAATCTCCTGCTGTCAGTCTCCCGAGTCACTGGGATTACAGGTATGCACTACTGCGCCCAGCTGACACATTGTTCCTCCAGGAAGCTTTCTTGGACTAAAGGGATATGAGACATGCAGACAGTGTGGTGTGGCATCCTGGGCCAGTGTTGATGGGGATAAAGAAAAACCTTCAGCTTGCTGCCTGCACCTAGGAAACTCCATGCACCTTTCTGGGACCTCAGATTGTCCCCCTAGGTTTCTGTATGGGCTCATCTCCATTCTCCAGTCCTCTTCTGGGGCCCTTAAGGGAAATCTCAAGTGTCTTTTTCCTTCCTTGGGGTTTCCAGTTAGGTGGCCACACTCAGGACTTGGACCCACAGGGAGTCTGGCCAAGAACATACCTGAATGGGGTAAGGACAGACCTGGTTGCAGAACTGAGGTTTGGGGTATGGAGGAGGCTCTCAGGATGCATAACCTAGGGTAGTGACCACAAACTGAGATCAGATCCAGGCAGCAACAACCTCGTGGGCCCACGGATGGAGCAGAGAGTAAGTACTCATTTGGGAGTATAATGGCTTTGTTAGGCTGTGGCTCCACTACCACTGGCTCTGCAAACTTGATCTGTTTAGTTCCCTGGATTAAGCCTCAGTTTGCTCATTCGTATAAGGAGACTGTGGAACAGGACTACAGTAACAGTAGCAATAGTAATTTATTCAGCATCAGTGAACCAATGAAAACTACTCTGCTATGCATATACTATTCTAATTTACTGCTGTTGTCATGAACTTGGGAATTGATACTAACATTCCCTTATGCATATGAAGAAGTTGGGTCTCTGAGAGGTCAAGCCACTTCTGCACGCTCACAAAGCTGGCCAGCAAGCAGATTAATTTAAATACACCTCTGTGGTGTAAGCACCCCGACCCCTTTTCTGGCTATAGAAACTTTCTCCAGAGCATTACATTTGAGGGCATCCAGGTTGGTACCGCAAAACTAGCTAACTCCCCTCACTCCCTGTCATAACCGGGGATGTGAAGTGAGAAAAGAGCCCAAGGAGGATCTAAAACATGCCCAGGGGACACAGTAAGGAGAAAAGGGCTTTCCCCCGCTGGTGTCATGCAGAGGGTGGAAAGGAAGGAGGCGAGACAGGGAAAGGCCCCACTCAGCCCCGGAAGCTCCGAGGCAGTTTTTTTTTTTTTTTTGGGGGGGGGGGTGTAGATGGGAGAGGATGGTGGTGGGATGGAATGGAGGCTGTCACCTCTGCATTCGCGCCCAGGGCGGAGTGGTCCTGGCGCCACAGCTCCAGCTAGGTCTGTGCGGCCGGCAGGGTCCCCACCGCGCTCAGTACGGGCTCCCCTCGGCCTAACTCCGCCCCGGGCGCTCATTGGTCTGCACCCCATCCCCAGCCTGCGAGCTCTGTGGAGGGAGGCGGTGGCCGGTCGCCTCCCTCCGGTCCCCTGCCTGGCTTCGCGGCGGAGGCGGTGCCTCTCCCGCAAGACCGAGCCCCGCTGGGCGGCCGTGAGGCGCGGGGCCGGCGAAGGCAGGCGGGGGGCGCCGCGCTCCGGCACCGGGCGGTGACTAACGACGGCGGCGGCGGCGGCTCCAAGGAACGCGGTCTCCGCGTGCGCACACGCACACGTAGCCGCGCAGGGACACACGGACCCCGGTCGCCCGCGGCCACACGGACGCGGCGACTCGGCTCCGAGCGCGCGCTCCTGGGCGCACACGCTCCGCATTCCCCGGCGGCGCCGGGCGCGGACTCGCCGGCTGCGCGCCCTCCTCGCGGAGCCTGCCCTGGAGGACCCGCAGCCCCCAGCCCCACGGCCAGGCCCCGCAGTGAGCAGGTAAGGACCGCCCCGCCGCCCCTGCCCCTCCACTCCCGGCAGCCCTCTCCGAGCTCCAGAACCTTCGCCTAGCAGGGACCTGGGACCCCCTCCTCCAGCTCGGCGGTCTCCGCAAGTCGCGTCCTCCAGCGACAGAGAACTGGCGCGGGCCAGCACGGGGCAAAGCTTCGGAATCGGTGAAGCTCTCCAGCCGCTGCTTGTTTCCTGCGCGTCAGTCTCACCCCTCTCCTAGTGTCTGGGGCCGTTGCTTGGGGGGCCCATTCCTGCAGCTCACTGGAGTGGGGGTCGGCCTAGCCATCGAGCGTCCATCCTGGTGCCAAGAAAGGACAGTGAGGGCAGGGATGACAACAGAGGCCAGAGGGTCCCCAAGGGACCTGTCCCCCTAGCCCCAAGGCGGGCGGACGCGCCTACACGGATTCCAAAGGCCACGCTGAACTGTCCCCTGGGGCTAGGTGCCGCAGTCTGCACGGGATTTGAGGGGTGGGCAGGTGGTGTGCTGGAAAGGGGTGGGGTGGAGGCCAGTGGAGAATGTCTCCCTACCGGGGTACATTCGGAATCATTCAAAAGAGCGTAGTAGTCTCCGGGTTTCCCGCGGCACCAAAGGATGGGATTAGGAATGCCAGGGCTTTCGTGGTCCCGCAAGGAAACGCCCAAAGAGGCCTGTGGGACAAACGCGCGTGGCCCCCCGGGGCTGAAGTGGGCCCGTTCAAGACCCTTGCCCGCAGTCTTAAAGGCCCAGGCTCCTGCGCCAGCTGCCGGAGTCGGGGGTACATCCTCATCTGGAACTGAGCGGGTTGGGGACTCAGAAAGGACCAGGGTGCCAAAGAATGGAGTTAAATCTTCAGGAAGAAGCCCCGGCGGGAAGGTGATGGCATTTCACACGTGGAGCTGAGGAGGAGGGGGGCCCTGAAAGGAGCTTAGGCCCCCTTCAGAAGATTCTGGGGGTGGGGGGTGGGAGCCCTGCTCATTTTTCAGACCATTTCCGTCTTTCAGTGCAGGTGCGTCAGATTCCCTTTCTTTACCTCCCCCAGCCTCCTGGTGTGTACCGCAAGCCCCCATCCTGGAACAAAGACAAAAACAAGACAGCATTTGGCTTTGCCTGTGAACAGCCCTGGGGTGGGGGGATTGGAAGGGACTAAGCACAGTATGTGGAGCGCAATTTGCCCAGACTGCAGTTGGCCAGAGGCACACTGGTACCCTGAAGGTCAGGCTAAAGGCTTTTGGTGGCTGTGGGCTTCTGAAGGGGATTGGGAATTGTGTTGGAGCCATGAGGGCCAGGGCAGTGACAGCACCAAGGTTTTCTCTGGAGCCACATCTGAGTTTGGTGCTATGTGCATCCAGGCAGTGGAATGCCCAGTCCCAAGCTGAGTCTGGGGTTCCTGCTCCTCACTGACCTTGGAGAAGGCAGGCAGGAGCATCAGTCTGGGCACAAGCAGGAATTTGAACAGTATAAACTAGACAGAATTCACTAGGGTGGGCCCTGAGCCAGATCCTCCAAAGAATTCATCAACAAGTGTGCGTGGTGTGACCAGGAGCCAGATGCTTCTTCTGCCATCAGAACTGGCTCATTGGTGGTGGGGTGTCTATGACAAGACCCCCAGGAGTCTGCCCTGAGTGTAGTGAGGACGGTGTCTGTGGGGAGCCTCTAGGACGCCCCTTTCCTGCATGTTAAAGACTGATCTGAGCAAGCACGCATTAAAGCCCTGCTTTGTGCAAGGTTTAGGCTGCCATGGGATTGACTGGAGAAAGACTTTGGGACCCACTCTTTTTCATATGGCCACCTCTCTTTGCCGTCCTCCTACTTTGGGACACTTCATTAATTCGTGTTGAATAAACAGATTCATACAACGAGTGTTTATAGGTCAGGGTATATGGGAGAGGCTGAGAAAGACAGCAGCTAAGGCCACAAGGTGGTTTTCCTCCTGGGGAGGCTTGAGTGCCCCACGTTGCTGGCCTCCCGGGATGGACATCTCGCTGAGCAAGGGCTGGCATTGTTTAAGTGGAAGACACACTGTGCTGCCTGCCAGAGGACAGGACCAAGGTGTGCCAAGTGCAGTGCACCAGCTCTGCTTGTGCCAGGCAGGTTTTGCTTGCCTGACAGCCCCTCACTGTGGAGCTGATACCAGGGGTGACAGTGAATTTCCTGTCCTGAGGAGGCTTGTGATCAGAGATCAAATGCTCCAGATGGGGGCTACCCAGGGGCTTTCTACCCTGAAAGGCCTACAAGCCTCAGGAGCCCTCTGTCACCTCTGAATAGAAGAATCCAGGGGGTCTGAAGTGTGGTCCAGCTGCCCGGCAACATGGAGGCTGGAAACTCCTCAGCTGTGATGTGTTTGTACTGAGCTCTGGATGCCGTCAGAGGCACACAGTGACAGCCACCCCCACAGTGACACATAGAGAGGGAGTGACACACAGCCAGGGAGGCATGTGGGCTTCCCATGACACCTACCAAGGAGTCTGGACAAAATAGTAAGGGAGATGAACAGGGAGAGTCTTCACACAGACCTGGGCAAACCTGGGGACTCAGGCATTTGCTCAAAGACCACAAAGAAGGTCCAGATGCATGTTGAGCTGAGTGGAGAAAGTGTGTGTGTGTGTGTGTGTGTGTGTACACTCTGTGCTGTATGAACCTAGAACGAGGGTCAGCAGCTTTTTTTTTTTTGTAAATACAGTCAATATTTTAGATTTTGTGAACAATATTCCCTGTTGCAGTGATTTCTTTTGTCTGATGTAGCCTGAAAACAATCGTAGACAACCGTCGAAAGTATGTAAATAAAAACAAAGCCTACAGGATATGTTCTGATAAACTTTATTTGTGGACACTGAATATTTTAATTTGGGGTCACTTGCATGTATCAGGAAGAATGCTTCTTTTAATTTTTTCTGGACCATTTAGAAACGTACAAACCATTCACTGGCTGGCTGTACAACAGCAGGTGACAGGCTGGATCCAACAGGCCTCAAGGGTTTGCGGACTCCCGGACCAACAGTTAGAAAAGAGAAGGTGTCCAGGAGAATGAGGAAGGCAGGCGATTGGTGCTGGGAGCTCAGGACACCCAAGGGCACCGTGGTGCTTCACGCAGTGTACATGGAGCTCACAAGAGCCTGCCCCAGGGCAGGTCCTGCCTGGCCTCTGCCCTCTATCCCAGACCAGCCCCCACGGCATCCACACAATAAATTTCTACTCTGAGGACACTGATGTCACCTGATCCCCAAGGGGCTCCTGAGCCCCTTTTCCTGTGTACCCTCTGTGCCCAGCTCTAGGTGCACCCCCACTGTGAGGGATACCACCCTCAAACCTGCAGGCTCCTTGTTTCCAGATACAACTTGAACCTCACCGTGAACATGACAAGACCCGAAGCAGCCTGGGCAGGAAGGAGAGAGTTTTCATCCCAGGATTGGGGGTTCTCGGAGGAGGATGAGGTCAGAGGGGGTGGGTGCAGCCTGGGCGGGCTTCCTGGAGGTGGTGTAGGAGGTTAGGTTGGCCTTGAGGCATGGCTGGGCATGCTCCTCCTGGCCTTCCAGACTCCATGCATGGCTCTGGCGTTCCTCAGCTTTCCTCCTAACAAATGGGCGCTGCAGGGGGCTGGCAGAGAGTAAAGCATAGAGCTCCTGTGCAGGCCTCTCGGAGTCTCCCAGCTTCTGATTTAGTTTGTGGAGTGAACCTGCCCTGCCCTCTCTTTCTTCCTCCCCCTGCTGTCCCTTTGGGACATTTCTTTCCTGCCACCTCCCCCAAGATGAGCCAGGGAGACTTTCTGTTTTTCTGAGTCTCTGGATTCTGTCTCCCCATTCTGTTCCAGCTCCCCCTCAGGTCTCCCCTGATCCAGAGAGGGGCCTCGGGAGAGCATCCCCCTGCACCTCCCCCTCTGCTCTGCTCACCAGCCTTTGGAGGGCTCTTCTCTAGGGGGCAAGCAGAGCCCCCCACTCCCCTGCTAGCCCTCTCCAGGGCCCATCCCTGCCTGTGTTCCAGCCCTCTAGTGTCCCAGCTGGTCACCTTCCCAGGCCATCCAGCAGGCAGTCATGTGTGCACTCTGGGCACACACCTGTGTGTGCAGGGGCCAGGAGCGCCTGCACAACGGAGTTGGGGCTAAGGGAAAGTGCAGTCAGTGGGGCTGGTCACCACTCTCCTCCTGAGCCACGCCCCCTGCCTGGCGGGGAGCTCAGTGAGCATCCTCCAAAGCAACGCCCCCCCCCCCCTGCTCCCGGGGTTCCTGTTCCCCTCCCACTCCCGCCCACCCTTCCTTTACCTCTCAACCTCTTTCCGCTTTCCCCCAGCTTTGGTCTTCTGCCTCCTCCTTTAGCCTGGCCTGGGAGCGGGCAGCTCCCCCTGACCCTGCAGGACCCCCTGACCCTGCACTCTCTTTTGTGGAAGGGGTTCCTCACAGGACATGTTTTTTTTTGGCGGGGGGAGGGTAAAGGACTTCACAGTGTGACCTTGGAGAAACCTCTTGGGACCCCCCACCGTCATTGATGGAAGGGGTGATTCTGCCAGAGTGCACCCCAGCCCAGCCCTTCCCAGTCCTGAGCCCCAGTCCCCACTCCAGCCCATGTGAAATGAAGGGTGTGGGTGGAATCATTCCTGGGGCCTGTCTGGTGACCTGGCTCCTGTGGCCGACTGTGGACAGAACCTGAGCAGCTCTGAAAGGATGGTTTGGTTTGATCACCAAAGAGGAGAATCAGTATGCATGATTGATCTTGTGATTGCTAGGAAGCTTCTCACCCAGGGCTCAGCCTTCATCAGCTCGGGCCTTACTAGGAGGAAAGAGGTGCTCGAACTCCTCCCTCTTCCCTGAAGCAGCTTCTGTCCCTTCTATTGAGGGGAATGGGTAGGAGGAAGTGTTTCCTCTTTCACCTTCCCTCTACGTTTCCAGTCCTAGGAGGCAGAGGAGCAAGTGGGGTGGGACCTGTTTTGGTCTCATTAATAAAGGCAGCATATGGAGAGCAGGGGAGGTGAGTGATGCTCTTTTCCTGGCCGTCTTTGTCTGTCTGGTGTCTAAGCTTGACACTGCTGTATGAAAGGAAGGGCTTTCCTGTGGCCAGAGGAGAGGGAGAGGATGGTGCAGTCCTCACACCGGCCTAGGGGCATCTGTAGGGCAGAAGACCCAGTGCTGCTTAGGGCTGGCTGCAAGGAGACCTGGAGACATCGGAGCTTCCCTCTGAGGTCCTGACCAGCTGCTAGAGAGGGACAAGAGATGCTGGCCAGGAGCCTGGCCCGCGGCTGGGGTGCTGCAGAAGGGCTCCCGCTGGATCTGGTGCAGCGAGGGGGCGGCTGGAGGGTCTCTGAATCTCCTCCCGCTCAGATGTGGAGAGCAGCGCCCCGTGAGTCACCGCCTGCTCCTGTGCTGACTGATGACGTGTCTTCCGTGTGCTGGGCCACCGCTGCCCGAGCCGCGACTCATAGGAGGACACGGAGGCTGCTGCTGCTGCCAGTTCCAGGCTTTGTCACTGGGTTTAGGGGGCTGGAGGAGGTCAGGCTAACCCCAATTAAAGGGGGGATGGTGTGCCACTGGGTCCCCTCAAACTCCTCTTGGCTCACTTATCTATTACGCATCCCATTCCTGCTAGGCCAACCTCCAGGGTACCACGCTGTGTGACCTTGGGAAGTGTCTCCCCTTCTCTGACCTCAGTTTCTCCAGCTGGACCATGGGGAGGTGGCCTTTCAGGTCTGCTTCAGGCCTGAGATGCGTGTCGATCACTGACTCTTCCTAAGGAGGGAAACAGATAGAGATGGGTGGGCAGGGGGTCACAGAGGGCCTGATCAGCCCTGAGGGTCAGGGTCACCCTGGGGCACCCAAAGGCTCTGAGCTGTCTTCCTTTGCCAGAGGCAGAGCAGCAGAAGCCCAGGATGCACAGACTTGGGAGCCAGACTGCTTGGGCTCACTTCCCTGGTCCGCCATGAATATGCAGTGTGACCTTGGGGGAGTCGCTTAGTCTCCCTTGGTCGCCTCCTCTATAGAATGAGGAGGGTGCTAGGAACTACTTAAGAGGCTTCAGGAGGTTGGAGGAGTTATTGCACATTTATTACTTGGAAGACAGCCTGGCACAGACTGAGTGTTTGATAGATATTAGCCATTGGCCAATAACGGTTGGTTTAGAAGGCTGTTGGGGGTGGAGAGCCGCCAGGGTGCGCAAAGCCTGCCCAGGAAGCCATGAGTCAACAGTACTGAAAACACAGAGAGCCCCCACTGGGGGCCAGAACCCTCTGCAGTTTTTGTAAATCGTTGAGGCCTTGAAGTAATACCCAGGAGACAGGCACTACGGTTACTCCCATTTTACAGAGGTTACAATGGAGGCACAGAAGGCTCAAGCCACTTGCCTAAGATCCTGAGGCTAAAAACTCTAGCAAAAAGGATTCCTTTGTCTGCCATGTTAAATGTCCTGAGGCAGAGTTTGTCCTCAAAGCCCACTGCCCTGCAGAGCCTAGACCCAAGAGCAATGTCATGGGACATGGATAAACAAATCATCCTGAGACATTTTAAGTGGTTGGGTCCAGGAACCTGATGACCGTCCTCAGAGCTGTGGTGGCTTGGCCCTTATGGAGTGGGTCACCTGAGGAAGAGGCAGTGGAGATGGGGTGGAGGAGGAGCAGCTGATAGGGTGGCGGACTGGGGTCCTCAGAAGACTGTCCTTGGGCAGCGGAGCCACACAAGTGCCTGGAAGAACACTGGTTTGGGGACAGGACAGGTGACCTAAGTTTGCAAATTCTGGGCTCTGCCCATCAGGTCCAGTGCAGGGTGTGGGCAGGGACAGAAGCACCTGGAGGGACTGAGGGTATTAGCACCCTGGGGAGGCTATAGAAAGTGATCTGAGGTCCCCAGAGGTGTGTGATTGGGAAATCAAGGCCCTGGAGCCCCAAGTCCTCCCTCCCTGTCTTTGCTGGGGAGTGCCTGCCCAGTTGCACAGGGAATGGGCTGTGGCAGGGATGCAGGAGAGTGCAGCATTGGCGTCAAGAACTCTGGGTCTGGTTCCAGAGGAGGTGCTGTGTGGAGAGCCCCCAGCTCCCTTACCCCATGCTACTGGACTGGGACATCTCTCTGCTGGCTCCTGTGGTAGCTTGAGCAGCCTGGTGGTGATGCAGATTGCCAGGAAGGGAAGGGCTGGGCTCGGCCCTCTTCTCAGTCCACTGAAGCGGTGGTGGAGGAGCTGCCTGCAGAGCAGGGCGCGCACCCTGCCAGCCCAGGCCTTCCCACACTTGTGTGCACGTGCTCATGTGTGCCTGCACTGCCCGTGCCTGCACCCAGGTCTGCATTCATGAGTATCTCGATGCCTTGATGTGTCTGGATGACTACAGACAGAGCATGTGCACCAACATACATGTCCTGTTTGATAGATGTGTCTGAATGTCCCAGTCTCGGCTGCTTGCTTCTGCACGTGACTTGGTTCTAAGAGTGTGTGTCTGTCACCATGAAGGAGTGTGTGTGTGTGTGGCGTTGTCTGCTTGGTCCTCAGGGGGTCCCTGAGGACCAGGAGCTCTGTTTCCCTGTTTTTGACCTGTTCCGCAGTGTGTATCCCATCTTGGGAGTTTGTACTGAGACTCTCAAGTGGGAGCCCTGGGGATCCGTGTCTCTTTTGTCTCTGTGAGGTTGACATGTCTTTATTGTCATCTCCGTGGACCTGTTTCTGTGTATTTGTGCGTGTGCGCACAGCGTGTGGATCAGAAAGAGAATTTGAAGATCAACCAGCCCTCACCTGCCCCTGCTGCCGTACGCCTCCTGCTGGAACCCTTCAAGCCACAGCTCTGTGTGCACACTTCCTGGCCTCTACTAAAGGTTAAGACAAACCCTTATAGTTCTAATTCTGCACGATGCCACCTGGGAACACAGAACAGGACTGAACCCGGAGAGGCTCTGATTTCTCTCACGGAGGTGTCCTTTGAAGCTCTGCAGGTGACTCCAGTGGGCAGCCCAGGTTGCACACGGCCTGGGCTGAGCAGTCATGACTTGGGGAGGAGGCATGGGCCACCATGTGGGGGCAGCCCTGTCCTATAGTGGGCCGTGCTAGTGCCGGCTCAGGCGGTCCCTGAGGACAAGGAGCTCTGTTTTTCTGTTTTGACCTGAGGTTGTCCAAGGTCCAGGGCAGTCACCCCCTGATCTCAGAGGCTTCTGCCTTGCAGTATCTTCTCTCCCAGCTCTGCTGTCCTGGAGAGATGGCCTCCAGTCCCTGCTGAGGATCACTGGGACCAGGCACTGCTCTATCCCAGCAGGAAGGACAGGAGGCCATCTCTCTTTAAGCAGAATCTTGTACTTCCCAGGGCAGATGGAGGTGACTGAGTCCTTTGGGAACCCCCCCCCAGGGCCATGTCAGAGGCAGCCTGTAGCCACCAGGGGTGTGTAGGAAGCTGGGAGAGGGTATAGGCCGTGGAAGCCTGGGTGTCTGGTGTAGCCTGTCCTTGGTGTCTGCAAGTGCTGGGGCCAGTGCTTTCCATCCTCCCTGACTCCCTCCACAGTCAGCACTGGACTTCTCAGAGTGTCTCTTGGGGTATCCAAGGTCTGTCTCAGCATCTCTGAGTGAGCCCTGGGCTGGGGATGACATGGGGGCCCCTTTTGTTGAGCCTTCCTGCAGCAGCTTCTATTTCTCCTTTGGGTGCTTGCTCATCACCAGCTTGAGCTTGGAGAGGCTGTAGGGGAGGCCAGAAGAGATGGATGGAGACATGGTTAGGTCAAGAGCCGGGCACAGGGGACCAGGGGTCACAGCAGCTGTGCACACTGGGCATGCACTTGCAAGTCCTAGTGGTTGTGATGCAGGGGCAGCGCTTGCTCCAGCCCCTTTTGTCCCAAACCAGACACGTGCCAGGTAGCGGTGCCCCTAATTTGAGCCTACTCAACCTTTTCTATAGCAATTTAATAATAACAGTAATGACGATTTTAAGCTGAGTGTGTGGCATTCCATTGTGTGGCCCTGCAGAGCCTGTTTAGCAGTGAGTGCTGGGTGGCTGCTGCTCTGTCCCCCTTTTTTTTCTTTGTCGCAGATGCTATTTTAAATGATGCCGTAGTAAATAGCCTTGCATATCCTTCTTTTGATTCAACTGCAAAAATTTCCCAGATGTGGAGTTGCTGGGTTGCAGGGTATATGTATTCGTCATCAGTTTCAGAAGCAGAATGTCCTCTGCTGGGAGTGAGCTGGGTCCCTGCAGCTCCTCAGTTGACTCCCTGTAACCTCTCTGGTCCCTGCCAGGGTCCCAGTCTTTGCATGTTTGTCTTCTTGGGGGGGGTCCGGGTAGCTCTGAGGCTTGAGCACACCCTTTAGTAGTCACTGTGCTTTCTGTGTCACTTGTTTCTTGAGGACAAAGTGGGGTGAGGCAGGGCAAAAGGAAGGTATATTCTATAAGGTGCCAGCCTAAGTGGCTGGAACAAATGGGTCCTTAAGAGAGAGTAAGTTAGGTAGAAGTTTATTTCCCTTGCAGCGCAGTCTGGGGCGAGGTAGGCCATCCAGGCTGCTTAGCTGCACTCAGTGGTTTTGGCTCCTCTCAGAGCATTGCACTCCCCACCCACAGCTGGCATCCTTGTCCACACTCGGGAAGGGCAAGAAAATAGGAGAGGAGAGCATGCCAAGCCCTTGTGTACGGGATGCTGCCCACGAGGCTCTCCTGCTGCCAGTCGCATTCCTTAGATGCCAGCTTGATCACATGCTCAGGGAGACAGGGAAGTGTCACCTTTGGGTGGGCAAGGCGGTGCTAGGCAAAGCTGTCCATTTGTTGTGGAGGAAGGGGAGCATGCCAAGGTCGGGGAGACAACTGGTCTACGGCAGATGAGAAAGCCATTCCAGACCGACCGTTCCAGTAGACTGTCGGGGCTGAGCCAGCCTGCACCCCACTCTATCCTCCGTATCTAGAGGATGTAGACCCTGGGCCTCACCTGTTTGTAGGAGTCGAAAGAATAGGATGGACGGCTGCAGGCCTGGAGGGAGTTTGCATTGGAGGCTGGGGACCATGTTGCAGGAGGGTGGGGGAACAACCCAGGACTCACGCCTTTCCTTCCTCCCTAGCCTGTGGACCTCTGGGGGCTGAGCAGCGGCTGCTGGCGTGGGAGGCCAGCAGTGCCGACTGAGGAGCACCATGGCCAGTATCCTGCAGGTCCCCCTGGCTGCACTCCTCCTGCTGCCTGTGGTAAGGCCCGGAACCCTCCCCTCCATGAATCTGCAGCTCAGGCTCACCTGAGGCTTTCCCCAGAGAACCTGCGACTTTTCTGTGTCCTCACTCAAGCTGAGATACCTGACTGGTATCTCTGCCAACACCCCACTGGACCATCTAGCACCTTTGTGTGAATCAGAAGAATGCCCTTCCTTAGGATGCTGGACTGATTAGAGCAAATAAATTTGAAATTTCAAGTTTATTACGATAGTAGCATGCGTGGCCACCTTTGGAGTTGTGCAGTACACAGCCTGCTCAGCCATATGCAGGCATCCTGGTTAGGGCTGCAGAAGGGTCTTTTGATCTTCTCGTCTCCAGCTTAGGAGGCCTGGCCAGATTTGAATCCAGGAGGCTGCTCTCTGCTCATGTCTTTTCTGAGCAAGGATGAGGACAGAGAGTGGGAAGAGGAGGCTTCCCAAGTACTGGCCCCACTGCTCGACCTGGACCAGCAGAGGTCCAGGTCTTTGTTCTGCTTCCCTGTGTGACTACAGACAAGTGCATCCCTCTCTGGGGGAGCTGCCTGCATATCTGTGAGCATTTGGGATTGGAAGTGTCCCTGAACATGGCCCTTGGAAGCTCCGATGTCTGGTGACTGCTTCTCCACGCATTGACAGTCCCCTGGGAAACCATCCTGCCTGGGGGTTGAGTTAAAGTGACAGCGTGCAGATGCAGTTGTCATGATAGCATGCATGGCTGTGAAGTTACTTGATCCCAAGCTAGAATCCAAAACTGCCAGCAACCACTGCCTGACCTTGGTCTGCACTTCCTTAACTCCTCTGAGCCTCACTTTTCCCTCTCAGTCCAGGAAGAGTGGTGAGCGGGCCTCTTGGCCTGCAGCCGCTGCTCCTCCACCTGCAGCAGCTAGAGGGCGCCACTTCCTCACGAGCCCCCCGGGGGAAAGAGACCCTGAGCCCGCCCCCACCCCTTGCTTCCCCCTAAGTAGTTAGATCCTTGTGGTCTCTGGAGCCAGAACATCTGGGTTCAGATCCCGACTCTACGGTCTACTAAGCCATGTGACACTGAGCAAGTAACTTTATATCTCTTTACTTGTTTTCACATATGGAAAATGATAAAAAATAATACCTACTTCCTAATACTTCTAAGATATATGCATACATATATGTGTGTCTGTGTGCGTGTGTGTGTGCACACACACACAACGCTCAGAATAAAGCATGTACTTAGTAAAGTGCTACATATGGGATTGCTAAAATTATTATAAGATGTGGAAACCGAGACCCAGGAGGGGAGTGGGATCTGTCCAAGGCCAGGCATTAAGTTGGTGACTGAGAAGAGCCCTCGTGGCCCTCATGACTAAGAGGATGTCCCCCTGCTGGCCCTGAGGTCTTTCTGCCACTCTCCTCTTCCTGGTTCTGCGCCCTTCCACACACACACCATGTTCTCTAGGACATGCCCCTGGGATTAGGTGGGAAGTCTCATGGGTGGGCCTCCCACCACCCATACCATGTGTCCCCTGCAGGCCACCGCCATGCACTCCGACTGCATCTTCAAGAAGGAGCAGGCCCTGTGCCTGGAGAAGATCCAGAGGGCCAATGACCTGCTGGGCTTCAACGATTCCTCCCCAGGTGAGCCGGGTGGCTGGGAGGGCACGGTGTCCCCAGAACATGCAGGCTGGCCTTTAGCACCAGTTTCCTGGCCCCAGGTCCACCTTGGACGGGGTGGCAGAGGGTGCAGGTCTCTGGGAGATGGTGTCCTTCATTTGCTCTGAGCAGTGAGGCAGGGGTTGCCCTGCTTGGAGCTAGTCTGTCCTGGGTGGCTCAGGGCTGTCCTGGGTGGCTGGATGTGACCACCTTCTCTCACCTAGAGGCTATGATAGAGCTGGTGCTGGGCCGGGCAGTGGCTGTCAGAAAGCTTATTAGCAGGCCACAGGGGCCTGGTGGCAGCAGGGACGCAGCTGTTGCTGGCAGCTGGGCTCTGGAGCACCTGGTCAGCTTAGGGCAGAGCATAGGGTCATTTCCTGTCTTCTCTGCTCATTCCATCAGAAGCCAGGGGGAAAAGCAGCAAGCTCCCAGTCTCAGAAACTGTCTGGTGCAGGGCTGGCCACATCTGTGGTGGGGGTACCATGCCCTGTGCTGGATGGAGCTACATACTGCAGGACATTTAGCATCCTTAGCTTGTCCTCTTAAATGTCCATAACACCCCTGATCCCAAGGATAAACAAAAAGTGCCTCCCAACATTTCACATGTCCCCAGGGACTGATGCAGCCCTGATGAGCCCCAGTGGTCCCATGTCACCCTCCCCTCCCAACTCCCCTGCTTTGCAGATGGGATCCCAGGCCCAAAGAGGTGAAGACCCCCTCTGCCTTCTGTCTGAGGGCCTTTCAGGGGCTGGCTGGGGCATCCCAGCGGCCCTTCCAGCCTCGCTCCTGCCTCGGTTGCTGGAGGGCTGGCTGCGGGTCTACCCAAGGGTGAGGCTCTCTGCTCAGACCGGAAGGATGCGCTTTTCCCTCCAGATCCGCCCAGCTCTTCTGAGCACCATCTGTTTGAAGACTTTATTAATCTCTAGCCCAGTTAAATGTAGTGGTCCCACTGGGCCCAACTCCACAGCCAGCTGCTTCTCCGTGCAGACTGGCTGGGAAGGCACTGCTCCCGGCTGGGCCTGCCTGCCCCACCGGCCAGTGGACACTGCTTAGCCCTGACTGACGGCAAAAGTGAATGCTGGGCCCCACCAACTAGGGACACTCAGGAAGGGAGCCCAGATGTGACCCTCTTCCAGATGGGTATAGATGGAGGAAACTCAAAGAAATGAGACTTTTCCCGTCCCAGGCTTTCATGGAGAAGTGGGCTGCTGAGGGCAGGCCATGTTCAGAGCACATCTGTGGGTCTGGATTGCAGGTGTCCTGCCTCCCAGCCCAGAGCCATTGTTCCTGCATCCATGTCTCAGGGTGGAGCAGCACAGGAGTCCAGGAGGCAAGGGTAGAGGTTGGGGGTGGGGCCGGGGCAGGGACTGCAGGGAGAGCTGGATGCCATTAATTACACCCATCTATCAAGCCCTGGGCTGAGAGAGGACAAGACAGGCTTGCCCATAGTGGTGACCTGGCTGAAGCAAGAGAGAGACAGATGTGGGGACAGTCACCACTCTGGGACGGGCTGACTAGTGCTGGGGAGTGTGCTCAGGATGGGAAAGAGGTGAGTCCTCCGTGATGAGATGGGGAGGGGCTGCTGGGGAAGGTGGCATTGAACCAAGATCCTTGGCTTCCAAACCTGGCTGCACGTCAGGATTGCCAGGAGAGCTGTTAGAAGAAGGTGCTCAAACCACGATCCTGCAGCTTCAGTCAGAACCTCACGCAGTTTCTGTCAGGTTCAGAAGCTCCCAGCAAGTTCAAGTGAGAAGCTAAAGCTGAGAACCCCTGAGCTGGGCCCCCGGGATGGGTGGCCATTTGACCGCAGCTGAGAACCGAGAGTGGGTGAATCAGGCTAAGGGAGTCATAGGAACAAGAGGCCAGGGAGCAGGTGCCTGACCTCTGGGGGGACGGAGTGCCCCTGTTTGTAGCCCCGTCTGGGGATGAGCCATCCTGGGGGCTGGCTGTCCCAGGGAGTGAGTGTCTGCACATTTTAAGTCCATTTCCACAGGAGGTGGAGGTAGGGGAACAGCTGTGGCCAGTCTCCACTGGGCTAGAATCCTTGCAACTTCCCCAGGACCCCATCGGGCCCTCCTCAGGGACCCTGTGGAGCAACAGTGACACAGGTCACTCCCAGACCTGAACTTGGGTGGGGGACCTGAAGCCCGTGGAGGACACTCACTCGCCCCCCAGCTCCCTGGTTCATCCACTCCCTGGCGCCGCTCTGCTCTCTCACCTTCCCTGCACTCTTGGACTCACAGGAGAAGCTGAAATCTTAGGTATCTGGCCTGGGTGGAGTGAGGGCAAGGCCAGGGTCAGGGAATGCAGGCAGACATGAGAGCCCTGAAGTCAAGTTCAGAGAGGTCAGAGTCAGTGGGGAGAGCTGGAGCCCGTGTACTGGGGATTCAGGGGAGGAGAAGGCGCCTCTCACTGGGCAGGTGAAGGTAGGGATGGGCAGGCTAGGCCTAGAGGGGGCAGGGTATGAAGGGTTCTTCAAGAGTGAGGGCACAGGTCTCTTCTGAGGGAGGGAAGGAGGGATGGAGAAAGGGAGAGAGACAGAGAGAGAGAGAGAGAGAGAGGAATGAAGACTTTCCCCTCTCATGGCCTGTTAGAAGAGGGAAGAGGATCTCACATTTCTATCTTTGCCCTCCCTGAGTCAAGGGGTAGAGCTTTACTGGATAGGGCTGACATTAAATTAAGCAGAAGGAAAGAAGAGCTATCAGGAAAGAGGAGGACACTGAGGGCCCAGCTAGACCACTGACTCTGTGGCTGTGGACCTTAAGATCTCCTTTTATAAAATGAGGATGGTGGAATGGGTCATGTTAATGGCCACATACTTTATATAGACTTCCTTTATTCCAGTCATTGTGTGTGTGTGTGTTTTATTCAATCACCAAAGCAACCTAGCAGGCTGGTCTATTACTGCTCCTATTTTATACATAAGGAAGCTGAAGCATAAGGAGGTTATGCAACTTGCTTAAGGTTGCAGTCCATTAAGAGGCAGAGGTGGACCTTGAACCCAGACAGCCACTGGGACACATAGCCTCAGAACCACATGCTTGGAACCTAGCACCGGTTCCCAGATCACCAACTGTGGGACCTTAGGAAAGTGCATAACACCTTGATTTTCTTGTCTGCAAAATGGAGGAAAAAATAATGCCTACCACATAGGAATATTGTGTTAAATGACAAAATCGGTGGGAAGGGCAGGGGATGGTGATGGGCTTTACCGAGCTCTCAGCAGAGACAATGGTTATTACGAGTAGTCATGTCACAACATGGGGGCCTCGAGGGTGACCCATCTTCCTCTAGGCCTGAGTTCTGGGGAGCGTAGAGACTCCTCTAGGCATGCCATTTGGAATAATCCACAAAGGCTTTCTGGAAGAGCAGGGAGGGGCTGGGGGACCAGCTTGGGCCTTGGAGGGAAGGAGGGAAGAAGGTAGGAATGTGAGCCAGGTGGGGATGGCCTGGGTGAAGGTGGGAAGGGAAAGAGGTGGGTGGCAGGTGGCAGGGAGCGTCACAGCCAGCACTTAGAAGCCAGTCCTTGGGTTCTCCATGTACACCGCCCCACGTCTGGGCAGTTTCTACCCCCTGCTTGCAGATGAGGCTGTTCCCAAGAGCCTTCATTTCTTTGCCTGCTCACATCTAAGCCCACACAGAGAGGGTGGAGCTGCGGTGTGCATTCAGATGGTTCCAGAGCCACCTTTTCCACCACTGCGCTGCACTGCAGCTCAGGAGTGAGGAGACACCCGCCCTTCTCTCCTTGTTGGAGGGAAAGGTCAGACAGCTGTGGAGGAAGTTGGAGCTGGAGAGTGGAGCTGGGAGAGGAGGGCCCTGGGTGTGTGCCCCAGGCCTGCCCTTTTCTTAGCTAGTGAAGGCTGGAGGGCGTTTGTTTTTGTAAGAGCCAGGTTCTCAGCCTCCAGTGACCTGCTTGGGAAGGAGAGGGGCAGCGGGCAGGACGAGGGGAGGCCCACTGCGGAAGGCTGACCTCCAAGGAGCTTGCATCCGGCCTGTGGTCTGAAAAGCTTGTTTCCGCAGACTGAGGTTGGAGGACCCTCCTCAAGGGGCTTTAGAACAGGCAGCCTCTGGGTTCCTTTCCAGGGCTTAAGTTCAAGGACAGTGTTATCCCACTGTCAGCTGCCAAACAAGGGCCTTAATTTCCCCTGGGTCCCCATGGGAGCCTCAGGCCTGCTCCTAGGAGTGCCTTTGGCTGGAGCTGGACTTCTTCGTGGCTCCAAATTAAACACACTTGAGGAATATGAACTGCAACCCCTGTTCGTGGTTCAGCCCATTAAAGCTCCCTGGGAGATTGCAAGATGCGGATGTCCGGAACTACCCAGGCCCAGCCTCATCAGCATTTGTACGGGCTACTCCACATTGGTATGTGTTAAGATCCTCTAAGTTAATTCTGAAGAGTACCCAGGTTGAGAACCACTGGTTTTATTTGAGAACAGCACCCTCCAGGGTGTGCTATAATGTGAAGCCGGAGAGCAGCTCCCATGGCACAGGCTGGGCAGGGAGCCCATTCCCCGCAGAGACCAAACCCGAGAGTAACCATGATTGACAGCTGTGCACCAGGCTATTAACCTGGGCTGGGGATGAATTGAGAGAGGCCAGCCCTCCTGCTGCTGCACTGTCCCTGAGCAAGCACACCTGCAGAGAGGCTGGCCCAAGGGCAGCCGATGCCCTTGAAACACAACTGAACATGGAAAAACAAAGCCTGATGGCTTGTTCTGGTGTCTACGAGTGTGAACTCAGGGCAGTGCTTTTACACATGTGAGCACACACACATCTACCGGCATTGCTCGCTTGGTGGCAGTGAGACCCTCTGAGATATGCCTTGTCTGTGATTTGGTGGTGGTGTGATGTGGGTGCCATAGGGCAATCACTCCACTTGGCCCCTTGGCTCCACCAGGAGATGCTGTGACTACAGGATGTATGAGGCTGCAGAGCGGGGCATACAGTTTTGCAGTAAACTTTGAGAAGTAGAAGAATAGTCTATA